TATATCTCCTTTACTAGAACAATTAGAAGCTCAAGGGTTCCTCAGTCCTCTAAAGAGAAACAACTTCTTTCTGTGCACCATCATGGGCGGTAGTAGCCCAGTGGTTAAAGTTTTTGGGCTGCCAAGCCAAGACTAAAACCCAAGATCACTGTTGGCCAAGAGGTTGTGCCATACTAACCAGAAGAACTACTGGTGGTCTATTCCTGAAAGTGGTTAATGATTTGCACAAAAGCATTAAAAGCCTTGTTTTTGATTATTTTAAAAACTCCAAATACGATTTCCTATTTATAGAGAACTATCAGTTAAACAGACGACCAGAGCTGAAAAAATCGTACAATTTGAAGCACGCCCAACATGAATAAAACCTAAACCATGCTAACAAGATAATACTAGCTGACAGGATGTCTATTTTAAATTGGTTTCTATAAATAAATAATTCTTTCCAACAGTAAGGATCCAAAGCCATAAGGGCTATGGTGTACTTGCTCATCAGAGAGGTGTGGTGGTGGTTTGTGGAATTTATGGATTTACGGTGGGGTGTGGAGACACCTTCTGCTCCTATGACCACAGGCTTGTGTCCTTATTGAGCATGTACTGTTACAAATACAACATGAAGTGCACACAAACACACCCATAAAATTCTGGATAAACTAAACAGTGAAGCAGTTATTGCAACACCTGGATCCAGCTGTACTAACAGACACATTCAAACCGCTTGGACAGACCTGAATGGATCTATCAGTGAATCGATATCTACTAACAGTAATGCAGCAATTCGATTTATATAATTACATGTAATTAATGTCTTCACGCATGCAGTCCTTTGCTACGTTGTGCAAATATATGTGTGTATATACACTTTATATGCATTATTAATTAAAAAAAAATATATAATATGTATTGATTTTTTTACTAATTGTTTCAAAATATTTTTTTTCCATGATCAACAAATGTGACAAGGTTCTTTTTCAAATCCAGAAAATCACTCAGAACAGAATAAAATGAAACATTTTAATATGAAATAAGGTAAAATTTCATTTTAAAATGCAGAACTTTAACTGTAGCAGCCCTAACCAATCATCACTGAGGCTTTATCAGTGTTGCCGTGTGAGTAGCTATGTTTAAACAGCAGCATCTGTTCTGGGAACTGTACTCCACTTTGCTGGAGAGTCCGAGAGATTCTAGTCACACTGATGGTATGAAGACCAGAGAGCGGTTTATCAGCTGCAGGCCATAAGCGGACAACACACAGCATGCTGAAAAAAGCTGAGATGCTCGAAGGATTAACTGTCCCCTTACACAGGGTGGCCTATCACTGCACCATCACACCTCAATCCACCGCCTGCTGGGTGTGACTAACACGAGACAGGGGCTGGACAATCATCAGCAATGAGCTGCAGACCATTTGACAGACAACTGGCGTGGGATTACCAATACCATCATCATCATCAGTGATGAAGAAAATCTTTGATGTACGCCTGTGATTTCTCTGCTAGGACACCTGTCCTTGAGGGAAAGTGTGTTCACACATCCACTAAAAACCTTGAGACTAATTAGTACAAAAAATTGCTCAGAAAATTAAGTTACTTGGGCTTGTACTTGGGCCATTGGGCCATTGTTTCTCTGCTTTCATAGATCTTAAAGAACATGAGACATTTAGAGGTGAAACAGTGGCTACAGGTCTCACCTTTTGGTGGCATTCTCCTGGAAGGGATAGATGACCTGGCCAGTGTGGCAAAGCTCACAGATGAAGCCCTTCTCCCGGCACAGACTACAGCTATAGACGTGAGAGCTGGCAAACTTGATCACCTTAGAGAGGAAGGGAGCAAGCTTTCCATCTATGACCTGCAAGAAAGAGAAAGACATTACAAGAGTGGAGTGTAGAGGAGGGTGATATGACTAAAACATGAGTCGCTGTATTCCACAAGAACTATACATTACAATATAGTTATTTCTGCTGGAAATATGGTTGTTACGATGCCAGCATTTTAGATACCATTGAAATGTCACAATATCGATACCACAACAAACACTAATACTAGTTTATAGAAGACAAGTAAATAGTCAGTAATAAAATAAGAACAAAGAAACTAATTATAAGCAGTTGGACAAATAAATTCAACAGTATAAAGATACAAACTATATAAAGAGTGCTTTAGATTTTTCAGAGAGGTCTAACTAACAATAAATACTACAGAAATTTAGTACATAAAGCTGCACTCTATGACTGGAAGCCTTTTGTGCACACATGTCTATCAGACAGCAAACTGAATTTCTTTTGCCTCTTATAGCAGTTGAAAAATTGTCCCAAATTGTCCTACATTGCTGTTTTGCCATTTTTTTGTAAAGGGCATTTGATGATCTTTGCATGTTCACTTTGTAAACACTGGGTTGGTACTTCTGCAGCGATGTAAGATGATTTTGAAGTTGGAGAAAATTAGATGGGAGTTTTTAGACCTACCCTAACTGTCTTGGACCAGAAAAAACAGAGTTCACGCAGAGCTAGACAAGATGAGCGTTTGAGGTTAAAAAGTATATAAATTGTAACATTTTTTTAGAACATAACCGATCGTTTTGCTAGATTAGACACTTCTTTCTCGGCTGGGATCATTTAGAGCCCTTTGAAGCTGCATTTGAACTGCATTTTGGAAGTTCAAACTCGGGGGCACCATAGAAGTCCATTATATGGAGAGAAATCCCGAAATGTTTTCCTCAAAAAACAATTTCTTTACGACTGAAGAAAGAAAGACATGAACATCCTGAATGACAAGGGGGTGAGCACATTATCTGTAAATTTTTGTTCTGGAAGTGAACTACTCCTTTAAGGAGCCATTGGCTCCTATAAGCAACAAAATTAGGTGACAAATTATTATTTTTTAAGTGCCACAGAATAAACGTGTTTTCTTTCTTTTTTTTAAACACTTTAACATTTCAGTCATACTGTCATATGTTAATATGTCTCCCCTCCTTTACAGCATCAGCATTTTAATTCATCTTGTAGATGTTCTGGGAACTAAGATTCACTTAAAGAAGGAGCTAAACATCTTTTCCAACTTCAGAAGTATATACAGTCACAAAGAATTGTTTATTACACAGAATCTGTGCCAATATCACTGACTATAACTATGTCAGCATCACTTGGCCATTGAGTGTAGTTTGGGCTCCTCCTCAATGCATCCTATAAATGTTGTCATACGTCTTGCACACATCCAGTCTGTTTTTATTCATTAGTAACATGCAATTATATAGGAGGTGTTGAATTTTATCTTTAGCTCCTTGCATTCTTTCTTATGTAGACAACAGGTTAAGTAAAAATATGAATATGTAATATAGCGCATACATTTAGCAAAATGGTCCTCTTTATAGTTATTATTATTAGCTGACTAATGAGCTTATTGACGCCGAATGGCTATTCTGAGGTAAATGTATTGTTACGTGGCATTGTTTACAAGCTTTACATGTTTTTCCGCGGTTTAAAACACTGAATGAGCGATTACATGAGAAATTTCAGTAAGTTCTACTGTATCTTATAACACTGATGTCTATTCATGTTTATTTCCTACTATAGTAGTAAAGAGAAAGATATGATGGGTTCACGTGCCGCTTGAACTGAGGCGCTAAAGAATAAAATATGAATTCAAAATAAAATAACTTTATAATAACGTAAAATTAATGTAACAAATTTTGTTATGAATATGGCAGAATTTTAAAAGCTCCGTAATTTTTTATCGCTCTCGTGCTGCCACAACTGGAGCTATTTTTAGCAGGTGTGCCGTCAACGCTGCTGTTCGGCAGAGATTAAAGTTTTTTTTTCCCACTAAAACTTTGATGCGCATCGTCTTTGTGGTTTATGTCAACATAACAAAAGATGTGATTGCAAAACAAGCAGGAAAAAAAGGCATTACATGCAAATTTTTAAGTCATAAAATGTACATTTATATAGACGCCATGGCAATCTCAGCAAAAATATCACTCGCAAATTAATATTTTTGCTCGCAAATGCGACCGTTTTAGGTGCAGTCTGGAGCCCTGATAAATGCAATAGCCTAAAATCTCTACCGACTGACAAATTTCTACCGGTATATTGCCCAGCCCTACAGATTTTCAAAATACTGCAGAATGCATTTAAATATGGCAAAATGTGTTAAACAGAATTCCACACTTTTATTTGTAGCAGAAGGCTGATGCAAATTCACCAAAACATTCATAAACAAACATGCGAAGGAACAGAGGATGTGTAGAACTTCGTGAAAGATGATAGTTTGAGGTCTGTGGAACTATCTGGGAACATTTTGCAGGTGCAGATTCTTTGCAGGCCAACTTATACGCTTTAAACATGCTGAGAAATGGGATGGAAAAGCATGGAGGAGGAACCTAGGGAAGTGTAAAACGTGACCTAAGCAATTCAGCTAGCAAATGGGCTTCACCAAATGTGTTCAACAGCTATGAGAGATGAACAGGTTCAAAATGTCAATGCAAAAATCAAAAATAAATTCCATTATCAAATGGACAGTAATCCTCCTGTTAACAGTTAGAGGTTTATCTGAAAATTTCAGCGACTGGACAAACACTTAAGAACATGTTACAATGGGAGCCAAGTACAAAAAAAAAAAAAAAAAAAAAAACACCAAACAGATTATCGGCCAGAGTAGTTAAAAATCGGCCTGGTCTTTGAAAGCGGGGTGCTGAAGAAGGCGTATTGTGGGCAGCTGAATGAGACAGGGGAAGGGGCCTAGACCTCCAGTGCATATTCACCAAGGGAGCAGAGACAAGTGGCTACACCTGGCAGCACTGCAGCACACCAATTAAAGGGCCTGCCAGCATTCTTCAGCCCTTCCACAAGGAACCAGCCAAAGAATGGAGGAGGAGAAGAGGGGACAGTGGAGCAGAGAGGAGAGCTTGGGAGGGTGGGATGTGAGGGCTCGAGGGAAAAGAAAGAAAGGAAGGACCACCGTGGTCTCCCACGAAAGACACGCATGCGCACACACACATATGCAGCATGAACGGGGAGAATGGGTTGAAAAGGGGAAGTTTTTTGTGGGATCAGGGAATTTAGACTCTACAGCCATGGACAAAGTTGCCGGATCATGTTTAGTTACTTAAACTTGGTTTGTAAGGTTATATTGGAGGGTTGTTTGCCAAAAAGTGTACATTTCTTGCATTTGTACATTAATACCTAATTTTGGTACATGGGAATTAACTGGGTACCATGTATTGTACTCTAAGACAAATAGTCAAAAGGTTGAAAAATAGAGATTTTTTTTTTATGCCACAACACCATGCTCACAAATAATAATAATAATCATCATCATCATCATCTTTATTTTTCATATAGTGCCTTTAAAGGTAGCTTCTCTAGATCATTTAAATAAAAAGATCTAAAAATAAAAAGTATAAATAAAATAAAAATTCTTCACATTCCACCAAAGCACTGTACAAGCCAAAGGGACTCGAGGCAGAAAGACCCACACTGCTAAAAAGCAGTCACTGTCATTGCCCAATGAACATAGAGGTGATGCTGTTGGCAGGCTTTCTCAGTAGAGATACCAGGAGAGCCCTTAACCATCCATCCATCAAGTAGCTTTCAGTTCAGATAGCCCTGTTTTTCTCTGACCGGGCTGACAGAAGCCTGAAGGCAATACCCTGCCTTTTCCCATGTGGAGGAGTAATATAGCAAGCCATTAAGGAAACGTTGCAAGCCACCAATCAAAGCGGTGGGGTGAGCACACTTGCCGTCCTTTGGTAAAGATGATATATACTCCCCTCGATCAATGCTGGCAGAGGGAGTAATTAAACATTTCAATAATTTAGCAGGCACGGTGAGCAAAACAGTGAATACGCTTGCACCAGGCTTGATGGGGAGGGACTGTGAAGAGCTAGAGGGCTGTTGAAGAGAGTTACTGACAGAATAGTGAAAGTGTGAATTTATGCATGAACTGCTAGACAAGTTCAACTGATTTAAAATGAGTTACAGTAATTAAAATAGTTTGTGCAGTGACACCTCAACTTAGAAATTGTAAATTTGTAAAAAAAAAAAAAAAAAAAAAGCTGCAAGAGACTTTTTGCATTCTTTGATTTTTTTTTTCTAATTTCTCCTATTGTATTACTTCATGGTCACAAGCAGGAAAATCTACTCTTAGACTGTTATATACCTTATATAAAAATGCTTTAAAAATATTTGACAAGAAACCTAATAGATATCAAAAGTTTTATAATCAAAAAGTACCATTTGTTTTATTTTTGACAATTTTGTTGTTTTAAAATTGTTTAATGTACAAAATTGTTAATAACCTTGCACCCTCACCCTTAAAAACATTTGTTTCTTTGCGTACTGAAAATATAAGACAAACAAGAGCTTCGCTATGAGGTGATTGCCTTTAGGGTTACTGATTTTGGTCGTTTAGCTTGCTCTGCAAGAGCTGTTAATAACTGGAATAATTTACCAAGCAATATTAGACAGTGTCCTACTTTTGCACAGTTTAAGCTACATTTGAAAATATGGTTAAAGATGAGTCAGGTTTGTGATCATTGAATATTCCTGTGTTTTGAAACGGTTACATCATTTTGGTGGACTTTTTTATAATTTTTATTATAGGGCTATGTTTTGTAGTATTTATAGGGGGATATTTTATAGTCATTTGGATTGCAGTTTCTATGTGAGGGATTATATTTCTTATATTTTAAATTATGGGCTATTGTGTGGAGCATGGGTGAAGTCTGCCAAATCAACTCCCCCCAAATCCCCCACCTTTTGCTCCTGTCTTGCATGTGCTTTGTCGTTAGCTGTTTAATCCACTAAAACCACAGTTTAGCGCCTACTTCTTCATCCCCTCCTCAACCCTGGC